GTTCTCCCTCCAGACAGCTGCTTGGCTCAATCCTTCACCTCCTTGTTGGTACCTCCTCAGGGGACCTTCCTTGCCCTCCCTATCAAAAACTAGAATACCCACACTACTCTTTTCCTAAATTTACTTTTCCTCTTTAGCACTTACCAGCACCTGAGGTTCTATACACTTTCGTATTCAATTGCACACTATCTGTCTCCCCCTCTAGAGCGTGGGCCCAGGAGGGCAGGGGTTTCTGATTTGTTCATTGTTGAGCATCCAGTGCTTAGAATTGTGCCTGCTATGAGGCAGGTTCTCAGTACAGATCTGCTGAACACATAAACAACCCCCAAGCAGTAGGTACTATTATCATCACCTCTTGCCCAATTTCACAGAGAAAGGAACCCAGGCACAGAGAGCTAGAACCACTTACCCAAAGTCACGTAGTTAGTAAGTGGCACGGCCAAGTTCTGAACCCAGCAGACTGACTCTAGAACCTGCATTCTTACCCACCTCAAATCACCCTGTGCGGGGAGCAAAATATGGGTGAGCTCCTTGGGCCCCCATCCCATGACCCTGGGAAGAAGGAAACTGTTCCTTTACCACATACTTTCTGATCACCTGATTTAGATCAGGACCTGGGCTGGATCCTGGTCCCACTCCCAACTAAAGGTGGTCCCCAGGCCCTGTCCCCATAGAGCTTAAAAATCTACCTCCAGGGGCGCCTGGGTGGCTCAGTCGCTAAGCGTCTGTCTTCGGCTCAGGTCATGACCCCAGGGTCCTGGGATCGAGCCCCGCATCGGGTTCCCCGCTAGGCGGGAAGCCTGCTTCTCCTTCTCCCACTCCCCCTGCTTGTGTTCCCTCTCTCGCTGTGTCTCTGTCAAATAAATAAATAAAATCTTAAAAAAAAAACAAAAAACCTACCTCCATTTCACACTGGATCCAGGAGAGGTTTGTAGGGCCACAGGGACTGACCCAAGCTCACAGGGCAATGGGCCACACCATGGCCAGAAGCTAGGCTTGCATCCAAGGGCCAGGAGGGCTCCCACATACGTTTGTGCCCCCACAGGCTTAATCACTGGCACCATTATTATTATTTTTTACTAAGATATAATTCACATACCGTAAAATTCACCATTTCAAAGTGTACAATTCAGTGGATTTTAGTATATTCACAAGGCTGTGCAACCATCACCACTAATTCCAGAACATTCCATCACCCCCCAAAAGAAACCATGTCCATTAGCAGTCATTCCCCATTTGCCTCCCCTCAGGCCCTAGCAGCCTCTCATCTATTTTCTGTCCTATGGATTTGCCTCTTCTGGACATTTCATATCAACGGAGTCATATAATGTATGGCTTTTTGTGTCTGGCCTGTTTCATTTAGCATAACGTTCTCAGGGTTCAACCACGTTGACAGATGAATCAGTGCTTCAGTCCCTTACATTTAAATAACATTCCACTGTATGGATGTACCACATCTTGTTTAGCCACCCATCAGCTGATGGATATTTGGATCGCTTCCACTTTTGGCTATTGTGACCAGGGTTGCTATGAACATTCGTGTGCATATTCTTCTGTAAATATGCACTTTCAATTCTCTTGAAAGCTCAATTCTCTACAGGTGGAAATGCTGGGTTATACAGTAACTCCGTTTAACTTTTTGAGGAATTGTCAGATGATTTTCCAAAGCTGCTACACCATTTTGCATTCATACATTACACATTCTGAATAAATAATAAGTTTATGTGATTAAAAATCAAAATGAGGGGCACGTGGGTGTCTCAGTCAGTTGAGCATCTGACTCTTGGTTTCAGCTCAGGTCCTGACCTCAGGGTCATGGGATCGAGCCCTGAGTTGGGCTCTGTGCTCAGAGCAGAGTCTGCTTGGGATTCTCTCTCTCCCTCTGCCCCTCCCCCCGCTTGCGTGCATGCTCTCTCTCTCTCTCTCAAAATGAATAAATAAATCTTTAAAAGAAAATCAAAATGATATGCAGTACCTGGATGGCTGTCGGTTAAGTGTCCAACTCTTAATTTCAGCTCAGGTCATGAACTCAGGGTCATGAGATCGAGCTCTGCGTAGGGCTCTGTGCTGGGTGTAGAGCCTGCTTGGGATTCTCTCTCTCCCTCTGCCTCTCTCCCCCACTCGCTCGCTCTCTCTAAAAGAATAAAAAATAAAAATGATATGAAATGAGTACACTGACATATCTCACTTCCACCCAAATCCCCCTCTCATTTTGGAGTCTCCTTGCTCTCCACAGGTGACTACTTTTGTTAGTTTCTTACACATTTCCTAAGTTCCTTTATCCAAAAACAGGCAAACACAGAGATTTGTGTGTGTATATGTGCAAAAGGCATCATGCCTACACACTGCTCCTTGCTTTTCCACTCAATTGCATATTTTAAAGGCAGAACAGTCTAATGATAATAAACCCAGGGTCTGGAGCATCAGACAGCCTAGGTTCAAATCCCAGCCCAGCCACTTTTAGCTGTGTGACCTGGGGACAAACTTCAGTCTTCCCCTCTGTAAAATGGGGATAACCAGGACATCTACCTCATGGAGCTGACTTGAGTGAATGTATGTGGGTCAGGCAGAACCCTGGAGGAAAGAGAATTCCAAGCAAAGGGGTTTAACTAAAGGAAATGTAGTAAAATGCACTCTCTCTATAGAGGGTGGGCAAGGTTAGGGGAACCCCTAAGAGCATGAAGCTCTTACAACCGCTGTTCCAGAGCTGAGGAAGGGGGGCCACCCTAAAGAAGGTGTCACCATGCACAAGACAGTCAGCATGGGCCAGAGAGGGGGCTAGGGGGTGAAATACCCCCAAGTTCCCTCTCCTCCCATTTTCTGATCTCCTGCTCATTCCTCCATGGGTGCTATAGAACAGAAAAGTCAGCTTCCTGAGGGGCAGAGAAGGTTAGAGAACAGATCTGGGGGGCAATGGAGAATAACCAGTGCTGTCCTTAGGATGGCATTTGGCCAGCAGCAAGCTGGGAAAGCATTTGCCAGTCAGTTTACCTTTCCATATCAGTGCCCCAGAGTGTCCTCACCCTTCTTTAGTGCCTGGCGCTCCACTATGCTTTGTGTGCCGTCATTCATTTGAGCCAGGCCCCATCGACAGACAAATTGCCTTACTGCGTCTCATGTTCCGTGGCCAATGCTGCAGTGAATGACCTTGGTAAATGTCATCTCATGCACGGAATGTGGCCCTTTGCTGTGAGACGGCCAGTGAGTCAGGGGCTTTATGACACCCTCATCTCACTCCATCCTCAACAGTGCTGTTAGGTGAACTTGAATCGTTAAAAGAGAGGAAACAGGCTCAGAGAAGGGCTATCCCTTGTGCCTGGTGCAGGTGAAATGGGGGTACTGTCTGACTCCAGAGTACTTGCCCTTAAGCACCCCACCTCCCAAGGACAGGAATCCCGAGTCCCTGGGGCCTGACCCTTAATCACCAGGTGCCATAAGCTGAACAGAACGTCTCCCTTAAGTTACAGCCGCTGTCTGGAACTGATGCTGACCCAGGTGTCCCACCGTGGCCCCATGTGCCATCTCATGGTGGCTTCCCACAATGAGGAATCTGTTCGCCAGGCAACCAAGCGGTACGTAGAGGGATGAGAAATGGGTACCCGCAAGAAGGCCCCCTCCCTTCCTCTCCCTTGCTCACATGCCAGGGATGGGCAGAGGGTGGTGGACATGGAATAGGGGGAGAGATGGTGAGGGGCCAGTAGGTTCACAGGGATTCAGGGGGGCCTATCCAAAATATTTAACCCCCGCGAAACCCGTAGGCCCTGTAGGTCCCAGCTAAACAAGACATTGCTCCTTACTTGCTGGGGCACAGGGAGGTCTGAGGGTTCCAGGGAAGGAGCTGGGACTCACTGGGGAGTTTTCAGGGAACTGAGAGCAGTGTTTATTTATCACTGAGTTCGGAAGTACTTCAAAATTTTAATAACTGGAACGGCCATATGAATGCATAATGGCTGACGGTCAGCTCTGGATCCAGCCACTGTCTGGACTGATGATGTGGCCTTTTCTATAGCATGTGGGAGCTGGGCATTCCTCTGGATGGGCCTGTCTGTTTTGGACAACTTCTAGGGATGTGTGACCATGTCTCCTTGGCACTGGGTATGTGAATTGCTCATTCTCCCCATACCCCACCACCATGACCCACCCAGCCCTCAGCCTCATCCCCTCCCAGCCAAATCCCTCCTTCCACTCCCCAACAGTGCCTGCCCAGGCTCCCCTCCAGCGCCTGCAGCTGGCCCAGCCACCAGACCCTTCCAGATAGATCTGTTGCTCCCGTATCTGAAGGCCTTGCACACCTGTCTTTGAGCCTGCTGTCTGTTGCTTTTGCTGGTTCTTGATCATGGTGTCTCGTTTCATGCTCTGTTATCTTGACTGTGTTGCTTCCCGGGGTCCGAGACCAGAAGATTTATGTTTTCTTCTTCCAGGTACTGAGGGGTACAGAATTACTTTACCCTAAATTCAGAGCTTGAGGTTTCCTGAGGCATCTCCATGATGCAAATTTGAGCTACAAATATGTGAGGCTAATCCATGGCCTCGATCTCTCAGAGATGGGTTTCTGTTTTCTTCTCTGCTCCACTTATGGTCGAGGCCACCATTCCCTGTGAGTTGGGGAAGGTGGGAGGGTTGAATTCTGGTTAACTCTGGCACTGAGGGTGCAGCTTAATTTGAGGAAGTGCTCCATTACAACTCACCCTGGTCAGGCTCTGGGCCTCAATTCTGCACCCCCTCAACTCTGTGAGGTCATCAAATTTTGCCTTCAGGGTGGAAGTGCTTCCTTGCATCCTTCCCTCTTTGGGTTCTCACTTTCTCTTAATGCTTGGATTACTAAATTCCTTACTCTTTTGGCCGTATTTTAATAACTTTAGGAAGATTTTTCTAAATGTTTACTGCAGGATTTTACGTTTTTTCAGTGGGAAATTTTGTCCAACTCACCTAGTCTGTCATGTCCTCAGAGATGAAAGTCTCTGTTCCAGATGGGGCCTCTCCCCAAACATGAGTTCACACCCTGCCAACACTCTCCCCACAGGGCAGGCCGGCTATGCCGTATATAAGTCCATCCCTTATGGTTCCCTGGAGGAGGTGATCCCCTACCTGATCCGGAGGGCCCAGGAGAACCGGAGTGTGCTGCAGGGTGCCCGCAGGGAACAGAAGCTGCTCAGCCAAGAACTTCGACGGAGAGTGCTGGGGCGGGGCTTGAGGGTACCCCATTAGCATCATGTGGTTAATAAAGATCCTGAGCTATGGCCCAGGCTGCTGCCCTGCACTGAAGCTCCTCCTTGGGGAAGGGCTATTCACCTCAGTGAGCCCAAGCTAGGGACTCTGCAGCTTAAGAGAGACCACTAGCTGACCCTAGAGCATAGCAAGGGCATTGATCAAAGACTAATGATGCCTACCCCTAACCCTGAGGCAGACTATCCTGCAGTGGGCCTGGTATCAGCTCTACTCAGCCAGTCAATGACTCCTGTGGGAACTTTCTTCACTCCAGGGGATGCCCAGATGAACAGCAGACACTGAGGCACTGAAACCAAGAGGCTGGGAGGGACAGAGGGAAGAGGCAAATCACTTTTTCATTTAATAAGCATTTACTGAGGTTCCTTCTGAGCTATGCTCTGAGATGAACAATGCTGGGGACTCAACACTGACAAAGACAACTGCAGGCCCTGCTTCACAGGGCTTAGTCCAGTAGGGGTAGACAGACCTATCTTTAGACAGTGACAGCCTGGTGGATCAAGGGGAGACACCTGGTGATCAAGAGGGCTTCCCAGAGAATTCATAACGATAACCAAAGGAATACTGAGAAGAGCATTCAAAGGCAAGGGCGTGCGCATAGACAGAAAAGTTTGAAACAGACTAGGGAGTGGGAAGACAGGGATGAAAGGGGTAGGCAAGCCTGACAATGCCATCTTTGATGCCAGATCTCAGGGCTTGGACTCTGTCCCAAGGGCCCTGGGGAGTCAGGAGAGTTTCTAGCAAGGGAGGGACAGAGTCAGGTTTGGCTTTAGTAAAGAGTCCCCTGGCTACCATGCAGTGAGTGTACCAGAGTGGGGAGACAGGCTGGGAGCCCAAGGGAAGCTGAAGTAAGAAATCCCTGCAGGTAGCTGGAGCATGGCAGGGCTGTAACAAACGGAGGAGGAGGCTGGTGGGAAGGACAATCTAGAGGCTGAGTGGATGGGCCCTCGGGCTGAGAGGCTGGATGGGAGGGAGACACTGAAGGGCGAGGCCCAGGGCTCTGGCTTGAAGAGGGGGTACCCTGAGATGGCGATTGGGAGGAAATGCAGTTTTGGGGAGATACTACAAGTGTGGGACTCAGTGGATGGGAGGGTCTCAGAGGATTTCCAGGGCGAGGTGTCCAGGACACTGTGGGGCCCCAGGTTTGGGGCAAAGAGATGACGCTGGGGTTAGGGAAAAGAGACAGCCCGTGGTGGTGGTAAGAAGCGTGGTAAGAAGACAGCCAAGGACAGGGATCAGGAAGCGCCCACCACCTCAAACAAGTCCTGGGGCAGGCGTAACGGGGATAACACCTCTAGGGTGGATATGGCTTTCTCTTCTTTTGCATCACCTCAGGGCTGGAAGGGCGCCTCTCAGAGGAGGGAGGCTACTGCGCAAGCGCAAGCCGCTGATGCGCATGCGCCCCTCATTCCCGCTCAGCCGCGGGAGCGAGCACCTGCCTGGGTCACGTGGCAGTCACGTGGTGATCACTGTGGGAGCGAAACGGTAGGTGCAAAGACCCCCTGGGCTGGGGCCTAGGCCCCAGAATCTTACTAGAGCTTACTGGGCTCTCAGGCTAGGCCCCACCCCCAGACCGCCCCCTTCCCGCATACTCCCCGCTCCTTCCCACCCCTGGTGTCCGGCAGACTCTAACCCTTATCAGACTCCGGCTCCCAGCCCACAGACACGTCCTCCTTCCCCCTCCTTACTCGGTCTCCTCCAGTAGCCCACAGGCCCCACCCCAGCGCCCAGAGGCTTCCCTGGACCTCAGTCCGTGTCCCCAACCCTCACACCCTGTCTCAGTCCGCAGAGCCTGCTTCAGGGCCTGAGCCCCTGCCCTGACTGCCCTCCTCCCTTCCACCCCCTCGCCCAGCCTGGAGACTCTACCCCTTCTCAGGCCAACCCTCAGGCCCCTCTTCCACCAGACCCTTTTCCTAAACCACTAGTGTCCTTTCCTCAGCTCAGATCCTATCCCTGGAGCCCTTACACCCCCTCCCCCAGAGAGAATGCCCAGCCCTCAGACTCCCTTAGACCCCAGACCTGCCGGGCTGTAGCTCTCTCAGATCCCACCCCTTTTCTCATTCAAACACCTAAACAGCGGAGCAGATTCCTCCTGAGTCCCCTCCCTTTCTCACTCGGCTCTCCAGGACTCCCAGCCAGCTCTGTTTTTATTACCCCCAGGTAATAAAGAGGTCCTCTGTTTACTTCCTCCTCCCTCATGAGACACCCCTAGGTGATCCCTGCGCAGGAGCTGAGCGGCTGGAGCCCCCAGATGCCCTCCCTGCGCTCTCGCTTCCCCGTGGAGCTGGGCTCTGTTAGGGATCCAGAAGCCCAGGTGGGGCGACTGCATCGCCTGGCTGTGGCCGGGGGCCCAGGCTGGGGCCTCACCCGGCTCCTGCGGAGAGGTGAGGGGCCAGCTCAAGAGGCCGTGTAGAAGGTGGGACTTCTACACGCTCAACAGTTGTGTACCAGGCGCCTATGGTGTACCAGCCTCTGTCGTCTATGATGGGGATTTAGGGACGACCTTCTGGGTCATTGTGAATGAAATCTATCTTGAGAATTTAAGAGAGTGGTGAAGATGAAGTACCTACACCAAGAAGGGTGGCTTTATAAGAGCCGGTCATGCAAACCACACCCCCACCCCAGGGTGACAGAGCCACTGCAAAGGCCTTGAAGTCAAACTGTTAGTAGCAGCAGTGGGGGAGGGGACTCAGGGAGAGGGCTGAAGCTTAAGAGGCACCAGCTCTATCCAGACAGGAAAGGGCCTCTGAAGTAGTGGGTGAATTCTGTTGTATTTTGTTCTGTGTGGGGAGGGAAGCCATTGGAGCTGTAGGCAGGAAATTAACATCTAATTTACAATTTCCATTTTTCATCGATTTTTCTAAGTCGATTGTGTTTCTGGCTACTTTCTGAATTTTAATAGTTGTAGTTTTTGAATTCTTTTACTTTTGTTGCCCACAGATGGTGACAGTTTGGTCTCGGCCCTTTCAGCTCTTTTTTTTCTCGTATAAGGTGTTGGCCAGAACCCCCAAACCCCCAAACCTTGTTGTCAATGGACATCTCTTAACTTGTTCTTGATATTAAAGGGAATTAATCTGTATTTCTGCATTAAGCATTGTGGGTGCTTTTGGGTTTTGGTATATAATTTTTATAAAGTGAGGAAGTTCCTGTTTAGTCTTAGCTTTTTGAGGTATTTGCCCCCGTCAGTCATAAGTAAGTATTGAATTTTATTTTTATTTATTTAATTTAGTCATTCATCACTTACATATACCACCCAGTGCTCATCATAACAAGTGCCCTCCTTAATAACCATCTCCCATTTAGCCCATCCCCCACCACCTCCCTCCATCAACCCTCAGTTTGTTCTCTGTCATTAAGAGTCTCTTATGGAAGTTTTGAATTTTATCAGGTGCTTTTTCTGTATTTACTGAGCCAAATGTGATCTTTGTTCTTTAGTCCATGAATGTGTTTTCCTACATTGATTGATTTTCTTATGTTGAATCGTCCTTGATTTCTGGGAATAAATCAATTGGATAATCCCTTTTAATCTCTTTAGGGGGTTAGCATATATGATCATAAATGGAATTGAAACATTTCATTTTTGGTTCTGGAAACGTACCTGCCTTTGGAATTAAGGTCATACTAGCCTCATAAAAGGAGCCTTGCCCTCTTTCTCTCTCTCTCTCTCTCTTTTTTTTTTTTTGCTTTTGGAACAACTTGTATAGGATTATCTATACGTGAAATGAAATGATTACCATTGTAATGATTATCTATATCATGCAGTGATTTGTGTTTTAAGAAGATCCTTTTGCAGGGCAAGACAAATGCAGAAAACCAGTTAGGATGCCATTGCAAAAGACAGTGGGCTACTGGATAAAATAGGGTGCAGTAATTGTGATATTCAGATGTTCCTAAAGGACCACATTTGGAGAGATTTTGTGACAGACATCAAGCTGGGTTGGGCCAAGCACATGATTGATTTTAGCCATATCTGCTTAGGACGTAGCGCAAGGACGAAGACACCATACATTTGCCCTCAGTAGGGAGATAGGGAGGGCCTAGAGGAAGAAGAATTCAGGATAATGGGTATGGAGAGGAGGGGTTAGGAAGGGGATCTGAGCAGAATGAGGAGGGGGGAAGGGATTGGCATAAGTGGAGGTGCAGAGAGGATTGCTACTTGGATTCGGCTCTTAGAAGCAGTATTCAAAAATAAACTTGAGAGATTTCCTGATAAAATCCAAAGAGTTTGCTTTTCTTGAAGAATTGGCTGCTGGCCACGTGGGACCTGTATAGATTCACTGAAGTAGAGCTGGGTGGAGGCTGCCTGCCTTGGACAGTGCACGAGGCTCCTGTCAGCCGAGGTCCCTGGGAAGTCCACTTCCCCCCCCGGCCCCTGGGTACCTTTGTGCGATTTTGACACTTCTGGGGTGGCAGGTGGGTGGCAGCATAGCGGGTGGATGGCACCCCTTGTGGCAACTCTGTAGACTTATTAATGGTGAGCACTGTGTTGAGACAGATTCTGAGCAGAGTCCCCAGTGGTTGGAGGGTGGGGGTTTCAGGACATACAGATAGAATCTGGAGTTGAGGGTCACCCAGGCAAGGAGGGACTGCGGGGACTGGGAATTGTCAGAGGCGTTGCGTAGCAGCCCCCGGGTCCTCTGCCTCTGGAGTCAAGGGCAGGGATAGTCCTAAGCCTTGCTGCCCCTCAGTTGTCCAGGTGGATGGTGAGAACTCTGCTGGGCAGACGGGGCTCTTCCTCTCGGCACTGCTGGGCGACAGCTCTGCCGTGCAGCTCTTGCTGACCTTTGGCGCCAACCCCAACCAGTGAGTGGACCGAAGGCGGTGCCCCCACGCTCGCAGGGGTCTGGGTCGGAACCCCAGGGAGCCTGAGAGCCAGGGCTTTCCTCCCCAGAGACCGCTCCCTCCTGACACCTTTCCTTCCTGATGACCCTGCCATGCCCAGTGACCTTCCCCCTTGTTCTCTGGATTAACCCCTCCTCGTCCTCCAGGGACTACTCCCATTCTCCTGGTTACCGTCACGCTCACAATGAGACTCTTACCTCTCAGAGACCCCGCTGCGCCCCCACGCGACCCCTCCTGTCCCGATGCCCACCTCCCACGTTCACCGTGACTCCTCCCGTCCCCCAGCCACCCCTTGTCCCCGTTCCGCCCCTTTCCTAATACATTTCTGTCCTCATTGTTCTGATGCAGCCGCTGCCTCGATGGCAGCACACCTGTGCACGCAGGCGCCTTCTCGGGCCGCAGCCTGGTGATGCTGCACCTGCTACAGGCAGGGGGTGACCTGCGTTTGCATGACCAGCAGGGTCGCACACCTCAGGACTGGGCAGAGCAGGGTGGTGCCAAGCAGCGCTGGGAGGTGAGCAGTGGCCCCGGTGGGGTAGGGGCATATAGAGCCAGCACCCGCACCTGCCTCACTGCACACGGCCCCCCTCCAGGTGCTGGAGCTGTTAGAGCTATGCCGAGCCCACATATCGGCACTAGCGCATGGCGGTGAAATGGCAGCCAGTGCATCCCTGGGCCAGTTGCAGGCCAGCTCTAGACACAGCCCCTGGGGCTCTCTGTCCTTGCCGCGGCTGGTGCGTGCGGACAGGTAACCACCCCCAGCCTGAAGCCCAGTCAGCCACCACCCCCAGCTGCCCTAGACTTACCCCTGGCCTTCCCTTTGACCCAGGGCATCGAGGCCGGAGCACAGCAGAAGACCCTCCCAAATCCCGGCCTTGGGGTTTGGCCAGGTAAGCGGGAGAGGTTGGGGGAGCAGGGAACACCCCTGTCCGCTTTGTGCCTCATAGTCCCACTCCCCATCCCCAGCTGAGCAGCCTGTGGCCACTGGGGCTGGTAACAGGCATACCCCTCGCGGACCCCAAGGAGCTGCTGCCAGCCCAGGGCGAGCCCGACCGCACCTACGAGAGCAGCTCCCACACCCTCATGGCCAAGTGAGAGAGAGCCCCTCCCACACCCCCTGCCTAGCTGTCCAGCAGAGTCTGGGAGGTGTCCAGCTCTCCTCCTTCCCTCATAGGAAGACCCCCCCCATTTCAGACCTGTGCTCTTTTCCCCTCCCCATTCTCTAGCCTCCTGTGGAGGGGCCACCCCGTGACAGCTCGGCAGCTGAAGGCACCTGGAACTCAGCCAGATGTGCTGTTGGCCGACCTTCAGCACTGCAGGTACGCCACCCCCAGCCTTGCCCCCAGGCTGGCCCAGTCCCCCAGACCGGTCTCCCACCTGCCCTCCGGACTCAAGTGTCTCATAAACAGGAGGCCAGGGAGTTTGGCAGTGGCCACGGTTACAGTCTTCACCTCTGGGCCAGCACCTGGCATGGAGCCCTCTTACTGGAGTGACCACCCCTCCTCCCCTCTGTAAAGTGGGTCCCAGGGCTGTGTGCTCTGTATTACGGGCCACAGAGAGGTGGCTGGGCGTAGAGAGGGGTACCCCGGGTGCGGTATGAACTGGATGCTGGCCCTGTGAGCCAGGTCTCAGTTTCTCGTCTGTCTGGTGGCTGGTGCAGATCGTCAACCCCTGGCACGTGCTGATCTGTGCCCAGGAGCAGCCCCCACCAGGCAGGTCGGGGCCTCCTTGTGAGTGGCCCGCTCTCCTCCCACCCAGCACCCTGCACCACCCCAACCTGTTGCTGCTGATGGCACTGAGCCCCTCGGCCGACCTGTCAGGGCTGTGCCTTCTCTTCGAACCCGTGTGGCTGGGCTCCCTGCACGTGGTGCTGCACCCCCGCGGCCCGAGTCCGGGAGGGCCCTGCACCGTGCCGGGCCTGCCGCCCGGCCACCTACTGCTGCAAGTGCTGGAGGCCCTGCTGTTCCTGCAGGCCCGCTGGCGCGCTCATGGCGGCCTTAGCTCTCATGCAGTGCAGCTGGTACGGCCAGGCCTGGCCAAGGTGGGCAGCCTGGAGCACGGGCGCCCCCTGCACCAACGCTGGCTGCGGCCCAGGTGAGTGCCCGCCTCCCCTGCCTGCCCCTGTATCCCTGTCCAGTGGCCGCTGGCTCACCAGCGCCCGTCCCGCCCCCCCCCCACCCCCGGCCTCCATAGGCCACAGCAGGGCTGCTCCCGGGGAGGCCCAGGCCTGGGGCTGCCCCCGCCTCCTGAACTGTACCCATGGCTGCCACTTGAGCTCATCTGCGGGGACATGCCTGCTGCCACCTCAGATCTCTACAGCTTTTGCATCCTGGCCCAGGAGGTGTTCACCGGTCAGTGAGTGATCCTACACCCTGCCCCGCTGAGGTCGCCCTTCGGGTTGGGTCCCCCAATCATGCTTCCTCACAGGAGAGCTGCCCTGGGCTGGGAGAAAGGGGCCTGAGGTGAAGGCTAAATTGGAGGCAGGTGAGAGCCCGGCCCTGGATCCCCTGGTGCCGGCCCCATACCAGGCCCTGGTTCAGGCTGGGCTGGGCCTAGGGCCCGCCGACCGCTGGGGCAGCCTGCAGAACACTCGATACCTGCTGCGGGAGGCCATGGCCCAGGTATGGGACGGGTTGGCCGGGTGGGTGGTAGCCATGGAACCTTAGGCAGGACCCACGTCGCACACTCAGCCTCCTTTCCACAGGACCCAGCTCCTGAGGTGAGCTCCCCGATGCACTGGAGTGCGCGGTGCCCCGTGTCTCAGGGTTTCCTACCAGGTTAGAGGGCACGGAGCGGGTGGTAGCCAGGGCTGAGCACAGCTCTCCTCCCCCCATTCCAACCAACTGGTCTGTCCCCCCAGAGACACTGTACTGTGAGGTGGCTCCCAGAGCCAAGTCTGCACCCAGGCCTGTGCCCCCTTTGATGTCCCTAGGCTCCTCCCCATGCCAGGTAGGAGCCAGAGCAGGGATCGGGGGGACCAAGGGAGCTGCGGGCCACCGGAGGGACAGGGGTGGGGACAGCAGGGCCAGAGCAGGGATCTGGGGGACCAAGGGAGCCCATGCCACCTCCTGCCGTTGTGTCTGCAGGCCCTGAAGACTCCCGAGGTCACAGGCCGCAGCAGAGTCCAGAGGGCCCCAGCCTGGGACTCCGGCAGCAGCTTGACTCTAGGCAGCAGACTGAGTCCTGGCCCCAGCCTCTACCCAGGCTCCAGCCCCGCAGGCCGGGTCAGCCTGCACCGCTGCCTGGAGCCCAGCTTGACAGTATGGATCCCCCCAGGGCCCTGCGTGACCGGACCGTCCGTTCGTTAAACTGTGACCCCTCACCCCAGTGGTCACCAACCCCAGTTTCCCTGGCTGCCTCTCCGTTGACCAGGGACCTCCCAGCTGTCCTCTCTGACCTGTGCCCCCCGACCAACCCGCCTTCCCCCAGGGCCCTGCCCTGCACACCAGGCTTCAGGACTCAGCCCCTCTGCTGGGGACCCAGGGTTCTGTGGAGCAGTTTGAGAGGAACTCAGCCAAGATGCCAGCCCTTCAGGGGCTGCAGCGGCACACACACAGGGCCGCCCTGCTGGACCACCCGCCCTGTGAGCCCACCCCATGCCTGCTGACCCACAGGGAGGCCTCTCACACCCTGGAGGCTGCTGGCAGGGAAGGCCACGAGGGTGGGTGAAACAGAGGACCCCGAGCCTATCTCCTGCGTCCCCCCCCCCGCCGGCCAAGGCCCATCCCGAGCTCCATGGCTACTGGCTGGCAGCTCCAGCCTTTTTCTCCTACAGGAGCCCAGTCCTGAGCCGATCAGAGGAGGTCTCTTCTCCAGCCTGCAGAAGTAAGAAATGGGCCCTGCTGCCCACACGCCGCCCCCCATCCCTTCCTCATCCCTGCGGTGACCCTGGCTCCACCCCTATCCCACTGCTCCCCAGGATGGACCTGCTGGAGGAGATCACAGCAGAGCTGCAAGGTGGACAACTCCGAGACAAGCGCAGCGTCGACCCAGCTCCTGACCCCGTTTCTTAGAGTACCCTGACTGCCTCTCTGCAGACACCGCCCCTCGGAGCCTCCCAGCGGTGACTTCCCACGCAGCACTTGCTGAAATGATAAAGTGATAAAGTAACCCAGCTGTCTCTGCCTCTTTGTTCCCTGAGTCTGGCCCCAGCATGACACTAGCACCCATGTTTTCATAGTTTTTATTCATTAATTTTGTCAGATGGTTTAGTGGGGGGTGTGGGGGGAGATGGGCAGGAGCTGTTCCCCAACCCCCTGTGTACAGGTCAGGACAAACTGGGGGCTCCTGGAGGGAGAGGGAAGACAGGGTGTCTGTCAGCCTAGCCCTCAGATTTGTGCGAGAGCCCCCGGGACAGGAGGATGGTGGGGGGATGGGTGTGCCCTTTTCGGCCCAGGGTAGGGAAGCCATAACAGGTTAGGGACCCACATCAGAAACAAGTTACAAAGTTAGAAACCTGGGGTAGGGGTCGGGAGCTCAAGAAAATACAAAACAAGCGATTAGATGGGGCCAAGATCAGTGAGGGCGAAGGGAAGGGAGGAAGGTCTCTCCCCCAGCTGTGGCTCAGCAGTAGCTTCGGGTCTGACCCTCAGAGTGGAGGGACCAGCTGGGAGTGGGGTAGGGGGGTGGGGGACCAGCCCCCTCCCTTCCTTGCCCCCCATTCCTGTACAAGGACCCTCGGTGGTGCTCGCCCCCCCTCCCGTAGGCCGGTGGGGCTGCCCTGTACAGCAGGAGAGGCTCTGGAGGGCCCCAGGGCACAGGCACCCTGTGAGGGGTGTGGGGGCCCCAGGGGGCCCGCTGTTTCTGGGGTAGGCGGGGGACTGGGGGGCCAGGATCTGAACGGCTCCGGGGGTGGGCAGGAGGAGAGGAGGAGCTGGAAGAGGCAGGTGAGGGACCCCTGGGCCCCAGAGCTAGATTAACGTAGAGGGGCTCGTGCCGGGTAGGGCGCCTGGCGGGATGCTGGGGGGCTGAGTAGCCAAGGTGGTCATGGGGAAAGCACGAAGGGGGTGGTGGGTAGTTGAGCAGGAAGTCGGGGGACCTGTGGAGTGGTGGCGATTGGCCAAGCAGGCCATATGAGGCATTGAGCCTATCTGGGGGCATAGAGCGAAAGGGACTCCAGGACCTAGTAGGGCCAGAGTAGGGGGTTCCCTCACCCGTCTCGATTTCGTAGTACAGGTTCTCTCCCCTGTCAAGTGGTGCAGGGGGACCTAAGGGGCTCCTCCAGACTGGGGCTGGGGAGCTGGGCTGGAAGGATGGGGAACCCAGGGGGTACAAGCCTGGTTTGGGGACCCCAAGGAAGGGCGGCAGGCACTCCCGAGGGGCTGAAGAGAAGAAGCCGGGAGTAGGAACCTGTGGGGGGACAGAATACAGAAACTGAGCTGCCATCTCCGGCTAATCCCCACACCCCCTGCACCCCGCCCCCCCGCCACCTCTCCTGAGCTGGGCACTGACCTGCGCAGGGCCTCTGACTCCCCTCCTTGAGGTCCCTGGGGGCCGCTGGCTCCTCACCAGGCTCCCGTCACTTTGTTGCCTTGGCAGGGAGGGTGGGGGTCCAGGAACCCAGGCACCTGGGTGGCCTAGGGAGTTGGGGGCCGGCCCAACCCCTGAGGTCCCTGGGGGCTCACCGCTCACCTCTAGTGACAGTGAGCGGTGGAAAGGAGAGTGGGGAGCAGAAGGGGTGCTCCCATGCTCCTGTTGGTTCTGTCTCTGGGCCACCTGCTGAGCCCGCTCAGCCAGGGCCAGGGCCATGAGGCGTGCTGGGTTCTTGGGGGGTGGGGGTGGGGCCCCCCCAGGGCGCAGGAGGGACAGGGGTGGGGGCAGCAGCGGTGAATCCATACCAAGACCTACAGAGAGAGGAGTGGAAAGAGGAGTCACCAGGTCTTGGGTGCAGCTTCAGGGTCTGTAAGGGCATGGGGTGGGCTGAGCAAGACTCACCAGGCTGGCCCTGGGCTCCCCGGGGACCAGGCAGCGCCAGCTTGCTGCAGATCTCCTGTTGGCAGGTGTCACTCAGCCGGGCCTCGGCTCCGCGCAGCAGCAAGGGGATGAGATGGGGCCGTAGGCCTGGGCTGGGGCTGAGGGCCGGCGTTGGGGTGACTGAGGCAGGCGTTGCCCCGGCCCCCAGCAGCTCCAGGACAGCAGGTGGCACTGATACAGCCAGGGGCTCTGAGATGTCCAGGGCAGTGGGCGAGGCAGGGCTGGCAGCCCCTTGGGGTGAGAGGGCCCGGGGGGTCACCCTGGGTGGGAAGGCGGAGGCAGGGGCTGGGGGCGCCGGGCTGGCGGGAGGCGCCGGGTCCCCTGGTGTGGGGCTGCTGCAGCGAAACGTAAGGGGATCGAAGTCGAGCCCCCGGAGCCCCTCCAGGCAGCGGGGTGGGCTGAAGTCCAGCTCGTCACCATCATCTAGCCAGGCTGAGGTTCGGTGTGAGGGGGAGCCAGAGAGCGCCCCCAGCCCAGCTGCTGAGGACCCAGAGGACGAGGAGGACTCGGAGGAGGAGGAGGACTCGGAGGAGGAGGAGGAGGACTCGGACAGGCTCTCGCAGGAGCCAGCAGGTGCGGGGCCCACAGGGAAAGCATCACTGCTGGAGTGGGGTCGCCGGAGCCTATGCAGCCTCTGGAGGCCTGGAAGGGGGGGGCAGTTAGGTGTGAGGGGCCGGAACTTTACACACGCAGACAGCAGTAAGGACAGGGTACAGTCCCCACGGGTTAGGCAGGGGAAGTTACACGAAGAGGCGCTTCCCTGGATATAGGGTCACAGTGGCTGGGAATCCAGGGATTTGCTGTCCAGACTCACAGTGAGAAAGGGAAGATGAGAATCATTCTACACCCAAAGGCAAGACTGACGTCTGACAACAACACGGCCGGTGAGCAGACCAGCGGGACCTCCCAGGCTCTCACTGTTGGGAGTGCAGATCAGGGCGACTGTTTTTGGGAAAGCGATCTGGCCTTGTCACTGGCCTTGTCACGTAAGGTTGACCCTGAGCATGGCCTACAGCGCGCCCCTCAGCTCCCGGGTGCTTGGAGCGCTCTCCAGAGTGTGGGCGCGCAGGGAGTGCTCACCAGAGCCCCCAGGCCCCTCGGAAGTAGGATGGACAAGGGACTCTGGACGGGAGAGCCACACATGGATACCAGAGAGCAGCCAAGAGGAACGAGCCTGAGCTACACTCAGCCACGTGGGTGGCAGTGAGCAGAAAGTCAAGTTCCACATCCAGCACCATCCCCCCCCCCTTTCTTAGGAGACCTTTAAAGTTTCAAAACAGCTAGGACTGTGCCATATGTTATTTACGCAGAGGCCTGTAGGTGATAAAACCTTAGAGCAAGGGGATGCTGCCCGTCAACTCTAGGGGACGCCTCTGGTGAGCAGGCAGCAGACGGGGAGAGGGGAGGAGCTTGCAGGTAAGGGAGTGGCGTCTTTTAAAAAGTTCTGGCCAGTGGGTTCACGGATGTTCGTTTTATTACTTAGATTTCTTTTCAAAAGGAACGAATAAAAGCCTGAAAGGACCCTGCCTGGACCAATGATCACAGTACACCATGAACCAAGAGTGATGCTTTATCTAACACATCGATGGTACCTCGTGTCCAGATTAGGAACTAAAAAACAAAACAAACAACCCCAACCCGCAAATCTGAAGTACGTTTAGAGGCCACCTCAGGGCCACCAGCCCTCCCAGCCCCACCGGGGCCCAGGCATGAGCCACCCGGCGCTCACCAGCCCCGCTGGCCTGTGATGACAGAGACTCCTCACTTTTGGCAGATCTCAGGGTGACTGTGTCAGGTCGGCCGCCTGCGAGGAGAGGCGGAATGGTCACAGGCACTCCAAAGTGCCTCCCCTCCCAGCCCCACCCCCCACTCACTGCCGCCTCTGACCTGAAGGTGGCGGTGGGGCACGGGTGCCCCCCAGCCAGGGTAGAGGCTTCTTCCGGGGGATGCTGGGGCCCCGGCCCAGGGCAAAGAACGTCTTCCAGCTGCTTCCCCCTGGCTTTCGCGGTTTCTCGCCTCTCTCCCCTTTCCTCCTGGGGTTTGCGTGAGACACAGGAGGCAGTCTGAGGATCTGGGGCCTCCAGGCTGGCCCTGTGCTCCCCCAGCATCCCACTTACCTTTCCACAGGTGAAGCTGGGGCCTTGGGAGTGGTGGGCTCGGTGGGAGTCCCCAGCCGGCCCTGGGTCCGAGCCTGGGCTTCCTCCAGCGTCAGCAGGCGAGTGGAGGGGCCGCTGCCCGCAAGGGACTTGGGCCTGGGGAGGAGGCAGCGGCCTAGGGAGTTGGGAAAGGGGGCGGCTGTCAGCTCGGGGGGGCCGCTCAAGGCCACAGGCAAAGCCAAGCGCTACAGCCCAAGCCCCGGCCCCGCAGCGTGCCCACCCGGGCTGGCAAGGCAGGGGGCCAGGGCGGATCAGGCGGGAATGGGTGGGCAGCAGGCAGGTGAGGAGGAGTGAGGCAGAACGAGCTGATGAGGAGGCAGCTCCCGGCAGCCAGCGAGGGCAGCGGCTCTGGCTTCAGTTACCTCGGGCCCGAGGGCCCTCCGACGTGCTGAATCCTGATTGGGCTGGGGTCCGGGGTAGGGCGGGGAGTCTGGGTGGGGCCGGGGCGGGGTCAAGTCTGGGGACCTCCCACCTCCTCCCTGGTGGACCCATGGCCCCAAGAGCCCCCAGGAGCTACAAGGGGTGAAGGAAGAACGATGTCCGGGCCAAGAAGTGGGGATCCTGAGCGTAGGAGCTGAAATGAGAAGGGGGGGGAGGGGAGGGAGAGGCCGGGGCGGGGTCCTCAAGGAGCCAGGAGGGAGGTCCAGCTTCAGTGGGGTAGGGATAGGGCTGGGAGCCCACCTGCCCTCCCACTGCAGCCCTAACAATGAGGGGGCAGTAGCCAGGTATCAGGGGGTGGGATGGGCATACCTGCAGGGTCGAGGCCAGCGGAAGTGAAGGTGTCGCTGAACAGGACATCCACGTGGGTGAGCAGGAATTCCACCACCACAGACTGCACCCGTACCTCCCTGAAGGCTGCAGCCCCACCCAGCCCCACAGACTCCAGTTCCATGGACCTGGATGGGAGGAGGGGGAGGGAGGCCAGGTGCTTTGAGCCCCAGCTGGCGGGTTCCAGCTAGGCACGATGGGGAACACCTCTGACCTTACCAAAGTGATCACATCCAGAATTGGGTTCTCAACCTTTCCCCAAGCCCCCTCCCTCGCTGCCTTCCCCATCTCAGTCAGTGCTCAGGCCAGACACCCCCAGGTGTTGTTCCTGACCCCTCTCTTTCCCTCACTCCTACATCCTGTCTCTCAGCAATCCCCGTCTGCTCCACCCACAAAAATCTCTCCAGATTCTAAACTCTTCTCCCCCACTGCCCCCACCGTGGTGCAGCCTCCACCCTCCCACTCAGAGACATCACAGCAGCTCCTCCCTGGGCTCCCTGTCTGTCCTGCCCCCCTGCAGTCTGCTCCCATGCCCGGTCAGGGCCCTGCTGGCTCAGAGCCCTCCCCTGGCTGCACCTCTCTCCTGGCAGAAGCGAAGTCCTCACCATGACCCACGACCTGTAAGTCACTCCTCTGGCTGGTCCCCTGTCACCTCTCTGACGTCATCATCTCCTCCCCCTCAACCGCTCACCCACTTGCTCACTCGCTCCAGCCACACCGGCCTCCCTGCTGGTCCTCCAGCACAGCAGGCGCCTTTCCAGCCTCCAGACATTGGCACTTGCGTTCCCTCGGCCTGGTCTGCCCCTCCCCAGATATCCACATGGGTCCCCCTCCTCACCTCCTGCAGGTCTTGACTCAAATGTTACCTCCTCAATGGAGTCTTCCCCACCCACTTTCTTTAAAATTGTAAGCTTCCTTCTCTCTCTTTTTTTTCTTTGTCCTAAGAGTTCTTATACCCACCATCTCATGGACCACCTCTTTTATTTAGGACAGAGAGCTCTCCTGTCTTGGTCACCATCAAATCCTCTGGGGCTCACGCTGCTACTGGCCTCAGGAGGACTTCCTACGGAAGCGTCCCCTGCCACTCTAAAAATTTCAAAATGCCATGACCCCGTGCATCTCCCTTCCCTGCTTTGTAATCTTTCTCCTTAGTACTCATCACCATCAGACCATAATCTCTATTTTTCTTATCGATAGCTCATTGTCCATCTCCCCCATGAAAATGTGAGCCTAGCAGCACAGGATCCTGCTCATTACTGGGTCCTGGTGCTGAGAACAAGAGCTGGCACCCAGGGAGTCCTTAAGAAATATGTGTTGAATGAAATGAATCAGAGAACAAAAGTTGGGTGGGTGGGCTCTGGGTGGGAAGCATGGGGCAGACTTGAGGCCCAGCCTGTGGAAGGAAGCTGAGGGGGGCAGGCTGGTGAGCTGCCAGCTTACCGTAGTAGGTTGGGTGCCCAGACAATGGCCAGGTTGCGGGCATGCATGCTGGTGTTGGCACTGTGTCTCGCCATGCGGGCCAGGTGCCTCAGCAGGTACTCCAGGGTCCTGGGGGCGGGAGAGGAGGACACCTGAGCCTCAGCTCCCTTGGGACCCCACCACAGGCCTTCCCCGCCCCTTCTGGCTTACCTGTAGTGAGGCGGGGGCAGCTGCTGGATGACGTCGTGGACTCGCACCAGGCGCTCCTCCTCCCCGGGCACCGACATGGCTTCCTGAGACGATGCACAGGTGTGACAGGGGCTGGGCCGAGCATCCCGGCACCCTCCAACTTTGCCAGCTCCCTTACTCACACTGAACTTCCCATAGAGCTGGTACGTGAGCAAGGGATTCGGCAGTTCCCGGAAGTAGAGCTTGCAGAGGGAGGACACGCTGTGGATGTCCTGCAGGAAGGCGGGGCCGGACAGTTCAGGGATCCTCTCGCTGTCGAACTCATGCCTGAGGCCACCAGGTCAAGGAGAAGAAAGATCAGGTCAGAGCTGACCCACCTGGCCATGTTCTTCCTCCACCTCCCAAAGCGTCCACACGCGGATGCAACTCTCTTCCCGTGCTGGGCTCTTCAGAGGCAGAACCTTATGGAACCCCCCAACAACTCTGTGTGCCCCAACGAGCATGCCCCATTTTACAGGGGAGGACACTGAGGCTCAGGTGGCAGATGCTCCTGCTTGCGGCTACCCGAGGCCATCTGGATACAGAGCATGACCACACACGCTCCTTCCACGACGTTGTCTTTCTGGCTTCAAGAGGTCACTGGAAGATGTGGCCAAAATCCCAGCAGCCCCTGCTCAAAACTCTCTGATGGTGTCCCACTGCTCTTGGGTAAAGGCCCTCTCGTGTGACCTCGTGCCTTGTCTCTCAGAGCCCCAGGCTCCACACTGTCACCTCACACCTCTTAGCCCCAGTGCTCATGCCTCCCTGCTCCCCACCTTAGACTGTTCATGCTGTGCCTCCTCAGCTCAGCCCCTCCTGTGGTTACCCCCTTACTCTGAGTAAAAGGAAAATCCTAACAGCATCCGAAAGGCCCGTTTGCTTCTGGGACATGAACTCCTGCTGCCTTCCCCTTGCACTAACTGTCCTACCATGGTGAAAGCTCATCCCAGGACGTCCACACAGCCGGCACCCTCACCTCCTCCACAGCAGGCTCTCCCCCAGGCGGCCTTCCCTGCCCACCTTATTTAAAACTGCAATTCCCTCCCCAACTTATTATGATCCGCCCCCACCCGGATAACTCTGTCCCAGCACACGGCACAGGGCCTGGGATAGAGCTGATGCTCAGTAAGTGTTTGTGGAAGGAAGGGCTTGGTGGAGGGCCCTCACCGTAGCCTCTGGATGTTGGATGACACTCCTGAGAGCCGGTAGATTCCATCCACCACGCCGTGGGCCTCAATAAACTCAGAGCAGCAGCGAAGTACCTGGGGCACTGGGAGAAAGCAGGGGCTCAGGTCTGGGCAGGTTGCAACAGGGTGGGAGGAGTGGGCTGGGCAGGTGGACGTGAGGCCTCACCATCCTGGCCTGAATTGCTGAGGTGCTCTCCAAGGTCACAGCCAAACACCCTCTGCCGCAGGATGCCCCGCTGCCGCAGCCGCTGCCGAGAAGGGCGGGAGCGCATGAAGGTTCGGAGGAGGCCAGCCAGCTTCCCACGTGGCCGGGGCACAGCTGTGGGAGTAAAGGCAGGCCAGAGAAGGTCAGTGCAGCTACTGGTCTTATGGGGGGGTGGGGTGGGCAGGGGCCTGGCCTCTTGTTCCCATTACCTGAGGTCAGAGAGGAGACACCCTGGGGCGTTGGGACACCGCACGGGGGACCATCGGCATCTGTGGGGTGAACAATGCGTGGAAAGAATGGGTGACAGGCAAAGGATGCAGGGGGGCCTCCCCATTTTGCCCCCTGGCACTTACCCCCCTTTAGTCCTGGACCAGGCCGCTCTGTGAACAGTTCCACACACTCACTGGGGAAGAAACCGACCTGCGGAGGGTTTGGGGTCAGTGAGTAGGCCACCCTAGCTGGCACGGTGCCCTGGCCTACCCGTGCACCCAAGCAAGATTCACCTGGAAGCCTCGTTTGCCCCGCCACCAGCTCCGATCCTCAGTGGGTGGCATGTCGATCACAGAGACAATGTCTCCTACCTGGGAGCAGGAAGGTAATTGGAGGGAGGGTCAGAAGGGACAGGGGAAGTGGGGAGCCCCGCTGGAGTCTGCTTCCCCATAGCCTCACCTCGAAGGACAGCTCATCTGGTGCCTGGGCTGTGTACCGTTTGATTACGTGCGCAGCGGCCACCGCAGGGATGTTAAGGGAAGCCTCCTCACTGAGGAGCAGTCGCCGGCCGTGGTTGTCCAGCTGAGATGGGGAGAGGCCAGAGGGAGGAGATTAATAAGGGCAGAGAGCGTTCCTCTTTGCCCGGTGGGGGCCACTGCCTGTCCCCTACCGAAGAGCCTCAGTCAGTCAGAGCTATTGGTCAAACACCTCAATTCTTGCCCAACAAAGCCCCTCCTTCCCTCTCCTGTCCCAGGGCACCCCTGCACCCTCGTCCCCCATAGCAGACACTGCACATTTGCTATCTGAAAACCTACTGGTTTGAGCCACTGTTGGCCAGGTGTTCTAGGAGTTACAGTCAAACCTACTTCTAACTGATATATCTTGAAATCCTCACATCCCCACAGTCCAGTGCCTGCTCACACAACACACACGCACACACACACTCATTCTCTCTCACAGGCATGTGCCCACACAGACCCTGAAATACCAGAGCCTCCTCCACTCTGGCTTGTTTCTTCCCCGTGCCCACACACACTCTCAGACTGGTTCTCGCTCCTCAGACAGCCCTCGCTCACTCCCAACTCCAAGCCCCTCTTCCCGGGCCCACCTCCATCCAGGTGAGCACAGGCCCACAGTTGAGGTTACTGTCCACCAGGCCTGACAGGGTCTCCAGGTATTGCAGCAGCAGTGGCACCAGCATCTGGGGGCAGGTTGTCGGAGGGGGGGCTTTTGTGAGGGGACCTTGAGAGAGTTCGCTGCCCTCTTATACTGCCCTAGCTCACCTCTGGGCAGGGCTGAAATTCAGCCTGAATGCATGGGTGCTTCTCCACTGGTAAGCACTGAAATATATCCATATCAATTAGTAAACGGGCCATGCCGAGCTCCTGTGGGCCCCCATTGGTCTGGGCCGTGCTGACTCTCCCACCGAATCCCCTGGCACGCCTCATGCTCCTAAGACTGAAAGGAGCCTCCCTGCTGCAGTTTCATTCTGGGCCTCTCCATTCCGACTGGTTGGAACCTGGGCCATACCAGTGTTTAAATATTTCACTATCCTCTCTTGATGGCTTCACACATTGCTCATGAGGACATACCATAGGTGAGGTGGGGGCTGAGACAATAAGCAGTTTACCTGGGCAGCCCTGGCACCCTCTGGGGGTGGGGGGAGCTCTGGGAGGCAGGAGAACCTCCTGTCAAATATGCACCGGTGTAGGTGGGCATCCAGGGATCGGAAGTCATCATAACTTCGGAGAACTGGCCAGGAACGGCCCTGGGGGATCAGGAGGGACAGAAAGGAGCAGTAGTTCCATTACACTGAGCTGAGAACCATGCAGACCCGTCTGTCAGGCCAGATGAGGAGAGGGGTGGCCTCACCTGACAGGTCACCTGCACCCCAAACACCAGCTCATTCTCTCCAGAGAAGCTGGGGCCTTCACGCTCTGGAGACAGCAGGAGCTGTAGAGGGAAACAAAGGCCCAGGTTAAGGGCCTCACTTTTGTTCCAGTCCTGACCTTTCCAGGTTGGCACTATCTATCTAGAGATGGATCTGTGTCCCCTGCCTGGGCCTCCCTAAGGAGTGTCAGTCAGAGTACAGGGTCCTGGCACAGAGCAGACACCTAACAAAAAGTTAGGTGAATGAATAAGGAAAGGAAGGGACGAATGAATGAGCCGTTCTCCCCTTCCACCCTGCAGCTCCTGCCACTGACCGCTCAGCTATCCCTGAGGTAGGTTTCAGGGGTACAGTGGCTGATACTGCTTCGGGGTTGGGTAAGATCGCACCTTCCCACCTGGGTGCAAAGCCCTCCTACCTGAATATGGCCAAAGTCAACATTCTCGTAATGGAAATGGGCACAGTCAGCCAGCCGAGGGAAGGGACCTCGAGGAGCCGAGAGCCTGGGGGACAGGTGACACATCACTGGTGGCTCCTGTGTTTGGCCCCCCCTCCTAAGCTGAGCCTCACCCTCACCTCTCACCTTTTCCCAGGCTTCCCCTTCACACTGGGCCCCCCAGTGTGGGGCAAGGGCTGCACTGAGCCCTCCCCTGGGCCATCCAGGCTGTCAGTGCTGCGAGCCTGTAGAGCAGAAAGAAGAATCAGAGGCCTCCAGAGATGGGAGCAGAGAGACAACGGGAGCATTGTTATCTGTGAGCCTGGGCCCAGAGGCCCGAATTGCTCCACAGGCTGCCCTAAGCATGGAGCAGAAGGGTAGGTCTGGGGAGGGGGCGGTGTGACGGCAACTAAGGGTAGGCCTGCTTCTTCGTGTGTGGTCTGGGGTAGGGGGCTGGAAGAGCAGAGCCTGAAGGTGAGGCAGGGAGAGCACACGCTGGTACCACGTCTCCCTGTCTAAAGCCCTCCTTTAGCCCCTGCGGAGTATAGTCATCTCCCCTGTGTTCCTCTGCACACCTTTTACTGATGTCTGGACAATCACAGCTCCCATCTTATCAATCTTCCTGCTTCCAACCTCTCCCCTCCTGCTAGCTTCTTCACAGCAAGCGCCAGTATAATTTTCATACCACACATATCTGCCTGTCTCTCCATAGATCACAGACCTTCAATGGCTCCCTGTTCTCTTCAAGATGAAGTCTGAATTCTCAGGTCTGTTTACCTCTCCACCCCCACCTTCCCCCCACGGCCTCCACTCTCAGAGCTCTCAAACTTCTAAGAGTCCAAAAAAAGCACCATCTTCTCATTTCCCCCTAGTGCCTTTGCAAAGGTTCCCTCTGCGTGGAACACTCTTCCCCATCCTTTCGGTAGGTTCCCTCCTCCTCATCCCTCAGGTCTCATCTCTCATTCCCTCCTCTTGGAAGTTCTCCCTGACCCAGGCTGTGTCAGCCTCCTCTTCTAGACTCCTCTATCACCCGAGGTTCTCCCATCCCAGCCCTGAGCACTCTGAGGTATCACTGGTGACAAGTCCCTCTCCCCCATTGGACTGTGACTTCCCCAGGATCAGGGACCCAGCACAGAGCTGGGCACAGAACTGATGCTCCTCACAGGTAAGGTTGTGCCTGATTCTTCTCTGGGTCCCAGTGCCCTGTCACACAGCGGGAGCCCAGTAAAATCTGATGCATAAAATAACCAGCTGCCAGATCGGGATTTCCCAGGCTGGGCTCTAGCCTCTCCCTCCTTCATATCCCTGCAACCTCAGGTTCATCCTTGGGTCTCACCCTCGGTTCTGTCCCTCTCCAGCCCATGAAGCTCCCCAAGGCAGGACGGGAGGTGAATCTCTTTGCGTCTGGAACATGGGGTCTGCCAGGAGGTATCAGGGAATGTCTGTTAAGTGAGCGAATGAGGGAATGAATGGATGAATGAGCAGGAGCAGCATGGTGGGAAAGGGAGATGGTGGGGAGGGAGGGTGAGGACAAGAAGATGGAGAAGGACCCAAGGATCTAGTGAGAGGTACACTGCTGGCTTGGGGTTGGGGTGGAGTAAGAAGAGGGGAGATGCTGGAGAGGCTGAGGTTCAGGCTGATGGGAGGGGGTGGGAAGGGTTGATTGAGAGGGAGCAGAACGGAGTGAGAATGAGAAGAAAAGGGTCAGGCTGAGGATGGAGCCGGGTGGGGGTGGGGCTCAAGAACGCGAAAGGGGCTGGTGGTAGGAGGGGGAGGGGGCTAGCCAGGGAGGGGTGGAGATTGGGAGAAGACGCTGAGGATGGCTGTGGGATGGGGGCTGGCGAAGGACCCAGGAAGCTTCAGCAGGTCCCTGGGTGAGGGGGGACACTTGGGGGTGCGGGTCCTTCCCGGGGCTAGCCCATCCCCCCCAAGCCTGGGTCCTCGGCCACTGTCACCTCCATCCAGGGCGTGGAAGGGGATGCACACTGAGGGGGCGGGGCCGGGGCAAGGGCTCGGGCCCAAGACCCGGCCAGGGGGACTAGAGGGATCTGGACGAGGGGTGAGGGGCGGCGCAGGCCGCGGGCTCGGGCGGGGCCGGGGGCGGGGCGCGCGGGGCGGGGCCGCGCGCGGACAGACTGACACGCGGACGGACTGACGGCCGCGTGGGCCCCTCACCACCATGGTAGCGTAGCCTCCTCAGGCGCCGGCCGCGCTCGATCCTTCGCTCGTCGTCCTCGTCGCCGCTGCCGCCGCCATGGCGACACAAAGGGGAGGGCGCGAGCCGCGCGCGGGCGGCTGCAGGCCCCGCCCCTAACGGCTGCCCGTGGCTCCGGCGCGCGCCCCACGGAGGCGGGGGCAGCGGGGACGCGGCGCCGCTTCTCATTGGCTCCACCCTTGGCCTTAGGACGACGCCCCGCCCACCCGGCGGGTTTTCATTGGCTTAAGGCTTCGGTCCCATCCCTGGCTCGGTCTCTTCGGTCCCGCCCCGCGAAGTTTGACAGCGCCGCGCCCATGACTGCTTTTCATTGGCTGTTATTACCCTCCTGAGACACACCCCTAGGTTCTTTATGCTTTGCTTCCAACACTTCTAACGCTAAGCAGTGGGCCGTCCCCTTAGTCCACTCTCAGTGACCAGTCCTCTGACACTTTTTTCCCCCTTTGACTTTCTTAGTTGGATTCTTCCGTGGCCTCAGAGCTTTTTCCCATCCCCAAGCAGCTTTTCAATGTCTCAATCCTCTAGCCCCATCTTGTCAGTCCCGACCCTGACACTGCCCACAGAATACTGAGGGCATTTGCCCATGGACGGTTTTCACTGGCTCAGACACCCTGCCTGGGACGTAATCCTAGGCTCTCTGCGACTTGGCCTCGTCCTTCCCACTGGACATTGTCCTTGCCTCCTCCTCTACTGCTTCTTACAGGCCGGCTTCCAGGCTTGACTCCTTTTTGCCAGGACTTGGTTTAGCCCCAAATGCCAGAACATGACCACGCCTCCCATAAAGCCAGTCCCAGTCGTTCCGCCTCCGACTTGAGCCAGGCCCAGAAAACACTATAACAATGCCCTTTCCAAGAGAACTTTTCCATTGGTCATGTTCCCAGCAGGGCCCCTCACCTCAGAAAGTACCACTTTGATTCATTCACTCATTCATTCAAAAACTCTAATCACTTAATTTGTGGCTACATCAGTAACCAAAGCAAGGGAAAACATATCGTGCTCACATGCGGCTCAAAAGCCGGTGGGAGAAGACAATGAACAAAATATCCAAAAAAAAAAAAGGAAAAATAGAAGGTGATAAATTCTATGGATAAAAAGTTAAGCCGGGATTGGGGAAAGGGAATGCTGAGGGAGGGGTCAATTTAGGGTTACTTATTTCAACTTATTGAACTTGCTGACTTCACTCCCATCACAGGGATTCCCTACATGATGTTCCCATTGCCTGCAGTCTCCCCCCATCCCCGCACCCCACCCCCCACCAACCCCTGTGGTGGTTTTAAAACATGACTGCAAATTCTTTGACACTGCTTTCATGAAAAGCTGGATTCTTTGTCCCCGCCCCCTTGAATCTGGGCAAGACTGACTTCAATCAACAGAGAATAGTGGAATTGACATTATGTGATATCCAAGGCTAAGTAGCAAAAAAGCAATGCATCTTCCTTTTTGTCCGCTGGAATGACTAGCTCTAGAGCTTTGAGAAGTGCAACTATGGCCAGGAAGCCATGCTTTGAGGAAGCCCAAGCCCTGTGGAGAGACCCTGGGTAAGCACTACAGTCCTCAGTTCCCGCTGAACCCAGCCTTGGAGTCATCTGAGCCCTAGTGCCAGACTTGTAAGTGAAGAAGCCCCAGGGATTCCACCCCTGGCTGTTGCGTCACCTTTGAGTCTTTCAAGTTGAACCCCTAGACATCATGGAGCAGAGACAAACTGTCCCCAGCTGTGCCCTGGCCGAATTTCTGACTCATAGAATCCATGAACATAATAAAATGATTGCTTTACGCCACAGTTTTGGGGCTGATTTATAATCCAGCAATACTAATTAGGATGGCCCTTTGTCAACGAGTTAATTCCTACCTGTCTCAGCTTAAGTGTAACTTCCTCAGAAATCCTAGGCTCCAGTCACCCCCCCAACTAGATCAGGTTCTGCTACTATAAACATCTTTCATTTCTCTTTATATCTAAACAGAGATTTCCTTCTTTTTGATTTCATTTAAATATATGGTTTGTTCAAAAAGGCTGAAAACAAATATATCCCATGTCTATGATATACAGAAGCTACTTTTTAAAAAAAGATTTTATTTATTTATTTGAGAGAGAGAGAGTGAGCACAAGCAGGGGGAAGGGCAGAGGGAGAAGCAAGCTCCCTGCTGAACAGGGAGCCGACCTGGGGCTCCTGGGGCTCCACGTGGAGCTCAAATCCAGGACTCGGGGATCATGACCTGAGCCGAAAGCAAACGCTTGACTGAGCCACCCAGCTGCCCCCAGAAGCTACTTTTATTTATTTATTTATTTATTTATTTATTTATTTTTAAAGATTTTATTTATTTGACAGAGAGAGATACAGTGAGAGAGGGAACACAAGCAGGGGGAGTGGGAGAGGGAGAAGCAGGCTTCCCACAGAGCAGGGAGCCCGACGCGGGGCTCGATCCCTGGACCGTGGGATATTGACCTAAGCCGAAGGCAGACGCGTAACGACTGAGCCACCCAGGCGCCCCCAGAAGCGACTTTTAACAGAAACCTGTTCTCGGGCGCCTGGGTGGCTCAGTCGTTGGGTGTCTGCCTTCGGCTCAGGTCATGATCCCAGGGTCCTGGGATCGAGTCCCACATCGGGCTCCCTGCTCGGCGGGAGGCCTGCTTCTCCCCCTCCCACTCTCCCTGCTTGTGTTCCTGCTCTCGCTGTCTCTCTCTCTGTCAAATAAATAAATAAAATCTTAAAAAAAAAAAAAAAAGAAACCTATTCTATCCTCCTTTTTTTAATAAATAGAGATATCAAAATAATCCTGATCATACATTCTCCAACATTTTATTATGAAAAGTTTCTAACATACAACAAAGTTGAAGAATTTCATGGTAGACGCCCATATACCCACCACTCAGATCCTACCATTGACATTTTACTTTGTCTGCTTTATGTCACATTCACCTATTACTCTATTCATTCTATTCCATTAACCTTACTATTTTGGGGGTATATTTCAAAATAAATAACAGACATTGGTATGCTGTCCCCTAAACACTTCAGCATGCATATCTTTAACTACAGTTCAATATTTGTTTTTATTTTGAGGTCAACTTTACCTGCAATAAAATTCAGAATTTTCACTGAATTTTGACAAGTGCATACACCTGTGTAACCAAAATCCCTACCCAGGAAGGCAACTGCACTTTTTATACGGTAGCCCAGGGCTCCAAAGCACACAAAAGAGAGGGGATGCAGGGCCACCAGGTGGAAATTGTATAATCTTTTCTAATCTGGTTTAGAAAGTTAAAGCAGTGTCATTTCCTTTGTATTCTATGTGTTGAGGCAGTCCCCAAAGTTCTACCTAAGTTTCAAGGAGAAGGGACACAGACTCTACTTTTTTTTTTTTTAAAGATTTTATTTATTTATTTGAGAGAGAGAGAGAATGAGAGATAGAAAGCATGAGAGGGAAGAGGGTCAGAGGGAGAAGCAGACTCCCTGCTGAGCAGGAAGCCCGATGTGGGACTCGATCCCAGGACTCCAGGATGGATCATGACCTGAGCCGAAGGCAGTCGCTCAACCAACTGAGCCATCCAGGCGCCCCAGACTCTACTTTTTAATGGGAAGTGTGTCAAAGAATTTACAGACAAAACAATTGGTTTTTCAGAAGTCCAGACGGGTGATATAGCCTAGACTGGGGTGAGGGCATTGGAAGAAGAAGGGCTAAATTCTGGATAGATTTTACAGGAATTGCTAATCAACTAACTGAAGGTGGGGTGAGGGAAAAAGAAGAGTCAAGAAAGGCCAGGAGGCTTTTGGCCTGAGCAGCTGCAGGGATGGAGCTCAGGAAAACCAGGGAGGGGCAAGTTTAGGGGGAAGATTGAGAGCTCAGTTTAAGACCTGTGGGGCTTGAGAGATCTCTTAAGCCTTTGAATGGAAATGGTGAGCAGTAGCTTCTGGGGGCAGGTAGCAGAATACAGGAGCCTAAGGTTCAGTGGCCAGATCTAGGCCGAAGATAGAAATGTGGGGACCATTAGAATAGAGATGGGTGTTAGAGTGGTGAAGCCAGATGAGAACACCTGGGAATGAATATAGACAGTTAAGGCCAGGGACCTGGGACATGCTCAAGTTACAGGTTGGGGCAATGACAAGGTGTGACACTGGAAGCAGGGGAAGGAAGTGTTTCAAGGAGGGAGGGATGAGCGCACCATATGCTGCTGCTGGCTCAAGCAGGCTGGGGACTGCGGACTGACCACTGCCCAGCACTCTGATGACCCCATTAGCTTCATGCCCAGAACACAGCCCTCAGGTCTCCCCTGAGACAGGAGGATCCACTTCTGAGCTGAGAGTCAACTAAGGTGAGCCCCGTCCCAGTCTTGCCTCAAATCTGGCCTGGAACCACACCCCTGTCCTGACCCCAGAGAGGATTCCTCGGCGGGGAAACCAGAAGAGATTTTGTGCCAAACTGTCAGGAACTAGAGTGGGGGTGGGGCAGGGGGTGGGTAGAGGAGGGAGGGAGCTATTTCTCTGAGTTAGCATGACCCTTAGCCTTTCCAGAACAACTTTCTCAGAGACAATCAGTAACGTGAAAAAAATTTTATTGGGAAAAATATAATTTGTACAACTCAGCGCCATCTGTTCTCAAGAGAAGCTCCTCCCCTCTGCGGCCGCCTTCCTGGGGACCTGGGGGGCGACCTGGTTGGAGGAGACCAAGTCCCTGAGTCTTCAGTGTGCTCCAGTAAGAGGGATAGTTGGGCGTCCACTTCCCTGCAAAAAAGCCAGGGTAGTAGAGGCTGAGGTTATGTGCTCAGGATCGGGGTCTGGGATGGTGGATGGCCCTGGGAACGGGGTGTTGTAGATCCCGGTGATGGTCACCTTTTCTGCCGTCTCAGCTCGGCCCTCTGAACTCTTAGCAACTGAAGTACCGGGTCGTCCTGGAACTCGCTGCCGTCAGAGTCTAGGGGGAAAAGGGCGAGCGCCAGGAGGTCGACTCGTAAGGTGCTGGACTGCCATCCAGATCGGGGCAGCCACGCACATCAGCTCACCTTCTGCCGCCTCCAGAAGTCGGGCAGCCTGGCAGAGCAGATCTCCTGAGGGGGCGTGCTCAGCAGCGGTCGGGGGCGTAGCCACCTCCTCGAGAGGCCCCGCCTTGGGGGAAGGGGGCGGGGCCTCGGGGCCAGTGGACGCCTCCTCAGCTGGAGGGGGCAGGACCTTGGGCGGCGGATACCCAGCTTCGGCCAAGGGAGTGTCTTTGTCTTTCCGAGGCTCCCACACCGCTAGGGGGAGCGTGGCCTGAGCTTTCCGAGACTCGGCTTTAGACCGATTTGGCGGAGTCTGTGCTTTGGGAAATCGTGATCCAGATGGAGGGGGAGTGACCTCTGAGCGAGATGGCGCAATCTTGGTTTGGGGGTGTGTGGCCTTGACTTTCAGAGATCCAGCCTCGGGCAGAGGTGGGCCCTCAAGGTGAGGGGGCGTGTCCTCCAGGCTGTCCGGGAAGAGCCGAGCGGATACTACTTGGCCCAGGGCGCCTCTGAGCTGCGGGCCAGGCCCCTCGTCAGCTGCCACGACTGTCCCAGCGGACTCCTGGCGCGGGGCTCCCCTACTCCGAGGCTTGGGGCCCTGCTTCTCGGGCTGCGCCCGGCTGCTTGGAACAGGAGTGGGCGGATCCTGGGGGGCGGCTGGGGGCGGGAGGGTGGAGGCTGCGGGTGCCGAGGTGGCAGCCGGAGGCGCAGGGGTAGAGGGCGTGGGAGGAATGGCCCCGAGAGATACCCAGGGACCAGACTGCGGGGCCCAGAAGAACCCATGGGGGCTGGGGCCCCAAAAGATGTGTGGAGAGAACCCTGGGGGAATAGGAGGCCTCTCCATATAGAAGGCCTCCAGGGGCCCCAGTCGGGCCACACTGGCCCAATGTGGGACACAGGTAGGCTGGGTTCCCAGGGAGCCAAGGGTCTCTGCAGGGGCAGGAGGGGCCTGTAGACAAACGGGGGCAGGGACCTGAGAGGGAGAGAAAGGACAGAGGGTTCTTCAGTCCCCTTCTGGCTCCCCCTTCCTCCAACTTCCCTTAGCATCCCTCCCTCCAGCCCCCTCAGCCTCCTCCCTCCCCTGTCTCACTAGAGTGGTGAGGGAAGGAGTCCGGGGTAGTACCCAGGTTCCATCACCCTGCCCTCCTCGAGCCCGTTCAAGCTTCCGCCGCTGCCGCCACTGGTATAGAATATCATCCTCTGGACGCAGGGGTGCCTGGGAGGAGGCCGGGGCTGGAGCAGGGATGGGGGCAGGTGCTGGTGTTACTGTGGGGTAAGTAGAAGGAGGAAGGGTAAGGCCACAGGCTGGGGTGATGAGCAAACCAAGGAGAGCCTGTGCATATACCCTTCGACTGTACCGGAAAGGTATTCAGACAGGCTCTCCAGATCATGTCCCACCTCTTCTCCCAAGCGGGAAGTGAGGAAAGGGGCAGAGTCAGAGGAGAGAGCACTCGTGGGCTTCTCAACCTGTCATCATTCCGTTCTTTATTCATCAGCAAATATTTAGTGAGTTCTTACCATATGCCAGGCCCTGTTCTGGACATTGTGGTTACAGCAGTGAACAAGACACATCCTCCAGAATCTGTCCCCTTCTTCCTCTCTTGACTGCCCTCTCCTGCCCTCCAACCCCACAGCAACCTCTTCTCTGGTCTCTCTACTTCCGTCCTCCCAATCTGGACCATTCCCCCACCCCCACCCCACCCCACCCTGCAGCCAGAGGGAGCCTGGGAACACCTGAGTCAGATCAGGGCCCGCCAGGATTGGAACCCTCCCCTGTCCTGGTAAGAAGCAAAAGCCTTTGCATTTGTGTTGTTCCCTCCTGTATGCACAGGGTTCCATCCCTCCCATGCTTCAGATCTTTGCTCACGATCATCTTCTTAGTGGGGCCTTCCCTGGCTACTCTGTTTAAAACTGCAACAACCCCCAGCCACCATCCTCTCTCCTGTTCCAGGTTTCTCCTTAGCTCTTTTCCCTTCTAACATATTCAGTGTGGTACTTCTTTGCTTACTTCGCTCTCCCTTCACAATGCCAGCTACACAAGGAGGTTTTCGTCTGTCTGACCCTCACTATATCCGCAGTGTCAAGAACAAGGCCTGGTGCCATCAGTGTTTGTGGCATAAATGCCAAATGAGCTATTTATTATATTGAAGTGCAGGGTCCAGACCTGTGCTAGGGATACAGCAGTGACCAAGGGCAGGGCCACGGGCCGTCCTCAGTTCAATGGGGCGAATGGACATCATTCCCATCACCCAGAGCATAACTTCATCGGTCATAGCAGTAGGGCTCCCATTGTCTCTTTGAAGCCCTACCATCTGATGCTGCACAGAGAAGGGGGGTGTCATCCTGGATCTCTCTCTCCCCCCACTCCCCTCTATATCCTGTGACTCTACTTCCAAACCCGGCCACTTCCCTCTACTCTGTTGCTCAGGCTCTGGCCCAAGAGAAACTACCAGCGTCTCTCACTGGGGGGCCCATAGCAGCCAGAGGGAGTCTGTTAATAACCCAAGAAAGATCATATCCCTCCCTGCTCAGAAGCCTCCTGTGGCTCCCCAGTACTAAGCTAATGACCAAATGCCTCCCATGTCTACATGGTCCAATGTACTCTGACCCCTGCTAAATCTCTTCCACCTGACCCCACACTACTCACCCCCCCACGCCCCCCCCCACCCTGCCCTTTCTAGTCCGTTATCTGCACCAAGCTCCCCCCACTTCAGGTCCTCCGTATATGCTAGAGGGCTCTTGTCCCCACCTTCATCGTTCAGGTCTCCACTAGACAGCACCTCTTCCAAGAAGGCCTTCCCTGACTTCCCAGCATCACGATCCTCTCTTGCATGGCCCTCATTTCTGCTTACATTTCACATGTATTTGTGGGGTTATGTAGCTATTTCTGCCCCACATTCACTATACTGTGAGGACAATGAAGGTGGGACCACACATGGTTGGTTCACTGTAGAATCCTCAAGCCCCCTCCTAGGGCCTCATCCACAATAAGTATTCAGTGTTTTTTAGATAAGAGAATGAATAAATTTAATCTGAAGGACAACTCATGCAGTAGGTACCAGTCTTATCCCCATTTTGCAGATGAGAAAACTGAGGCTCAGGAAGGAGAGGTGAATATAAGGTGAGGTGAAGCCGAAAAGGAGCAAAGAATCAGACAAGCGAGAGCTCAGCCAGGATCATATACACCACGCAGGACACCTCCCTGTTTACCGTGCCTCCCTGTCCCCCATTCACTCAAGCCCCATGAGACACGGGAGAGCATCTGTCCTGTGCGCCACTGTGCCCCAGGACCTGGTCATGGAGTACTAGTAATCCAGGTCCTTAATCCCATCTCTGAAATCTGAAGACTTCAGGTGGCAGAAATTGAGCGTTCAACAGTCGGCCTGCTTCAGCAAAGTCCAGCGTCAACAGGGGGCTTGCTCAGTATACCAGACTCAAACACAGTATTTGGTTGAACAATATGAAATTGTCCACATTCAATCATTTTTTACTGACAAAGACAAAAGTTTCGTATGGTTCAAAGTAACACAGCCATAGCAAAAACTATGTCTATTCACCCTCAATGAGATATAGAGATTTGATAAACAGCCTTCTTATTCTTTAGGTCAGATTCTGCTGTCCAATCAGGTACAGGGCCAAATGAGCAAAAAGCCATCTGATTTTGGAAATTTGTGTTCAGAACTGCAAACAGGATGCGGAGAGAGCCTGTCATACTAATGATAGGTACCGTCAGGACCTGTGGCAAGAGCTCCCTGCATCCCCCAACTCATTTATTTACCCCTGTTTTAAAGCTGGAGAAACAGAGAGGCCCAGAGAGGCGCCGGGTCACCCAGCTGGTAAATGTCAGAGCTGGGATTCACATCCAGTCTCTTCTCCATCCTTGCCTCAGAACTTACCATGTGCCTTGGGGTCAGAGCCCTTGCTGGAGTCAGGGGTGAAGGTCGCGGAGAAGGGAGAGAGCCCATCAGAGCTGACGGGGAATGAGGAGCTGCTGGTATCGCTAGGGCTGAGTGAGGAGGAGGAAATGGAGGCCTTGCTGTAGGAAGAAAGCAGAAGCGAGGCAACAGGGGTTCTCAGAGGCGGTGGGCGGGGTGTGGAGCTGTAGGAGTGGGGATGGGTGCGGGGAAAGCACCTGCGTTTGAGCAGCCTGGCAGCTCTGCTCTGCAGGCTCAGTGTCTCCAGGTCCAGCAGAGATGAGTTCCATGTGTTGAGGCTCTGCGAGGGAAGAAGGGATTAGAGGCTAGCCCCCATCTTAAAGGGTGCTGGGAAAGGGCTTTGGACAGAGGGCCTGGAGTACAGGTCTGCCTTCCACCTGGTATCCTCACATGCTGGTAAGCCATTCTAAGGAATCCGCTCCTCCTCCTCAGGGAAGGGGGACCCAGTTTTCCTCTGGGGTTGTACACCCCTCCTTGACCCCAGCCTCCTGACCAGGCCTGGCTAATCACAACAATCTGTCCTCTGGTTCCACAGTGATTGGCTCAAAGATGAACGAATGAGAGTAAGCCCTGGGGCTTTGGATGGGACTACTGGAAAATCCTCCTCTTCCCACTGAAGTGACTATGTAAGTTAGAAGCCTCGAATCACTGGGGCTATCTTCACTACTTCAAGGGGAAAGCCTGCCTGAGATTGAGCCCAAGAAAGAGGAACAGAGTCAAGAGAGTCGAGTTCCTCCTAATAGTGTTCAAACACCTGGATCCAGCCATTCCTGAAAGCATATACATTTGGATTTCTTGACTGCGTTAGCCAACAAATCCTCCTTTTTTGTTTAAGCTTCCTTGAATTGGGGATTGACTCTAATTCTATCCTAGGGCTGGTGGTGTCAGTTCAGGTACATAGGGAAGAAAGTAGATGAGGACGTCACCTGCTTCATTTCCTTAAGGGGAGCCACAGCCTTAGCCTGAGATGCGCTGGCCACCTTTGCAAGAGTTGGGACTGCTGTGTTGGGTCTTCCTTCTGGTTCCCTGGCTCCTGCTGAGAAGCCCCCGTTGATTTGGGGGGGCCATGAGGAATCTCTGCGGGGGGCATTGATCAGGAAAGGTTTTAGGCCAGCAGTGGATAGGACTGAAGCCGGTACCTGCTGCAAGTTGACTGGGGGTGTCTGGAGATCCAGGCCGTAGCCACCAAAAGTCAGCTGGGGTTGGGCCTGCAGGCTGGCGTTCCTCTCGGCTTGTGGGCTGAGCCTGGCGGAACCGGTTTATGTACCTGTGAGCATCAGAGAATGGGAGGTGAGTGAATGAGGAGAGCCAAATAATAATAATAATAATAATAATAATAATAATAAAACAGACAATAACAATCACAATAGTGATGTTTATCAAGTACTTTGGCAGTACCTAGTCCTTGTCCCTCAACATCTGCTCTTTCTTACAGAGTAATGCAGTATTATATAAGACTATATAATACTGGGCACATAGTCACTCTTCTACAGATATATTTATCAGGGGTCCCAATAGTTTAATGGCCATGTAACTAGGTTCTTGACCAGCAGGGTTATGAGATGAGATGTGATTCTGGCAAGTGGATGTGGTTGGGAGCCACATTTCCTTTATGGTTGGTCCATAAAGGAAAGGACAACAGCCTGGTGATGGGAGGCAACAAGATAGAAGCAAACTCTGCCCCTGACACCTCAGCCGGGGGCTGCCATATCAGCCCTGGTTGCTTCTGCCTGGACTGTTTGGGTGAGGGAGAAATAAATGCTATCTTGCTCGAGCTACAATTAATTTGGGACTGTTTGTTAGAGCAGCTGAACTTGGATCCTACAAATTCAAGGGCTCACTATGTGATAGCACTTGTTATAGATGCTTTATAGACAGTAACTCATTGAAAGCTTAAAACAGCCCTAGGGGATATGAGCTGTTAATATCCCCAAATTACAGATGACGAAACTGAGGCCCAGCTCATACAGAGGGTAAGTGACAGAGCTGGGATTTGAAGCCAGGCAGCCTAGCTCCAGAGCTCTTAATAGCACATATAAAGTGTGGTCCTAAAAGTGCTGCACAAACAACTCTGGCTATGGTGATTATTATGTGAGGCCTTCCACCTCCTGATCCAAACCCTTCTTCCCCCCCAGGGCTGCAGCTACTTACTTGGCCACCACAGACTCCCTGCTGTCAACCAGGGTGGGTGGTTGGGAGGCTCCCATCTGTCCTTCCGTGGTGCTGGGTGGGGAAGGGGTTCCTGAGCTGGACGGCCAGGACTCTTCAAACAGTTCAGAGGAGTTGGGACCTGTGGTCAGAGCCTTGGGAGTTTCTGGGGGCCTGGACCCCCGGGACCTGGATGGGCTCAGGGTCTAAGATAGGGAGGTAGGGAGAAGAAAGTGAGGGTTGAGGGGTCATCCCTGTAGGGGAATGAAGGCACACGTGAAGTGTGTCTTAGTCAAGAGGGGAGGAAACATATCCCACAATGGTAACAACTCAGAGTGATTGGGGGCTACGATAGGTGATCCAGGTGACAGAGGACTGGGTGAGGGCAGAGCCGTGAGGAAGGACTGTCTCTTAACCCTCACCCCCTCCCCCCCCGCCCACATCACATATCCTCCTTCCCTCTAGTTATTACTCCCTCACCGCTGGGCTCACACACACCACTCTCTATGGAGTGTCCTCACCTTGGGGTGCCAGGTCTGGCTTTGGGATGGCCAGTAGTGGCTTTGATCCAGGGGAGTATCCTCAAAGGGGCTGTCTTGGATGGAGAAAATTGGCAGACTGCAAGGGGAGAGTGAGGTTGGCAGGCAGAGCCTACCCACTCGGCAAGGCTCCACCTTCTCAGGGTAGGGTTGTGGGGTGGAGTCAGGTTTTGGGGTTGGGAAGAGGAGGGCAGAACCAGATGACAATTCCCATAGATTGCAGGAAGAGATGAACTATAATTCCCATGAAGCAGCGCTGCACATTCAAGATAATGGTACTAGAGGCTCGATTCCCACCAACTCTTGGGGGCAGTCTCAGAAAACCAAGGAACTGCCAACTGGTGGTTCTTAACCCTGAATCCAATCTAAGAGCCTTTTAAAAATACAGATATGTGGTCCTCACTCCAAGCCAAAAGAAATCATAATATCTGTTTTTTTTTAAGAACCTAGGTTTCATTTTTTTAAAATATTTTATTTATTCATGAGAGACAGAGGGAGAGAGAGAGGGAGAGAGAGAGAAGTAGAGGGAGAAGCAGGCTCCCAAGGAGCAGGGAGCCCGATGCGGGACTCGATTCCAGGACCCCGGGATCATGACCCGAGCCGAAGGCAGACGCTCAACCATCTGAGCCACCCAGGCGCCCAGAAATCATAATATCTGGAAGGTGGCTGGTTATCTGTATCTCTTTCGCACCGTCCCAGGTGATTTTGAAGTGGAGCTCGGGTTAAGAACCAGGGCTAAACCCTCTCTCTCTCCATTTCCCATAAGTCCTGGGGACACGAAGGAGGAAATGGTAAATGGACTACAATCCCTATCAGTAACTGGGCTCCGCCTAAGCTAGAAAGGTCAAAACCAACACCCACCGGAATCTGGGGGCAGTTTTAAAATTCAGAAATTGAACTCCCAAGATGACACTGGACACCCTTAGAGGAAAAAGAAAAGCCCTTGGAGCCACTTGGAAAGCGGAACGTAAGACGCTACGGGACCCCGATGGTGAAGTCCTAGGCGGGAGCTGCCAAAGGATGTGGAGCATCTTGGGAGTTGTAGTTCCAGTGCGGTTGAAAAAGAGACTCCGGACCCTAGCAAACCTGACCCGACGCTGTGTTAATCTCACCCTAGGTCCTCCCCAGGCCTCCTGCGGTCCCCGGGAGAAGGATCGGCCTCACCTGCGGTCCATCCCGCAGCTACCTGGGCGCTTCCGCCAGCTCCGCTCCCTCACCGGGCTGACCCCGCGCGCATCTTTGTCGCTTAGCAATGCCTTGTCAGGCCCGCCCCTCTCCCGGAGTGCCCGCGCGGGAAGAGAGCGGCCTCCAAGGCGACCAATGATGAAGAGGAAAATAAAAGTAATTGGAAAGTGGCCAAAGGGAGATGTCGCACAACTGGCTGTAACTTCGGCCTGAGTGAGAGAGCATGTTTGATTGGAGAACCGTAGCGTGCAGCAGTAATTGGCAAGCCTGTGGACCAATGGAAAGGATCTGAGGGTGAGCTCGCGGTTAAGAGGGGTCATAAAGTACTCTCGCTTTCCTGCAGTGTCTTAGAGCCACTCCCCCTTTTTGCTGCGGAAATCTTGTCCGGACTCCAATGTAACCACCGTTTTTCGCGTTGCAGGGCAATCGGGGAATGTGTCCCGTCTCTAACCGCCGCCCCTCCATCAGTCGGGCCAGCCAACCAGTCCCGCGGAGTCATTAACCACTTCCGTCTTGCTGCAGGAGCAGCTGGTTCCGCTAACTGCCAGGCCTGGGCTCCTAGCCGAGGTGGTGGGATCAAAATGAGCTATTTCGGGCCCGTCGCGCGGCCCCTCGGGGGCCAGCCTGGACTGTTCGTGCCCGCGCCCTCTGGCCGCTGCTCACCTGGCAGACCCCGCTACCCTGCGCACCCGAGGCTGAGTCAGAGGCCTAGAATTAGGCCCGGCTTGCCGGGGGGCTGGGCCCAGGCCCTGCTGAGATGGGAGTAGGGTCTGTTCTGTGTCCTCCTGACAGCCTGGCCGGCTACCACATTCCCTGTACCCAAGAATCTGCTCCTAAGACGGCCATCTGCGTCATCCCCAGAGCTGCCTGCGGGGTGGGGGTGGATTAAAGGGACTGCGAACTCTGCGCAGGGGTTTTCGGGCCCTGGGTCCCAAATGCCGCGCCGTCCTACCCACTCGGCAAGGCTCCACCTTCTCAGCCTCAGTTTCCCCTTTGGGAAATCGGGGGATCACCTCTCTGGCATCCAGCAGGCGCTTAATAAATGGCCAAGTCATTGTTGGGCTTTCTAAATAAGACTCTATTAATGGCCGGGGCTGGCTCGGGTCCCAATGTCCCCGGGCGCCCCGCCGAGGGGCGGACACAAGGCGTACTATAAGAGCGGCTGCGGCGCACGCAGGGGCACTGCGGAGCCTAGGGGCGGCGGCGGCGGCGAAGCAGGATGGAGATCCCCGTGCCTGTGCAGCCGTCTTGGCTGCGCCGCGCCTCGGCCCCGTTGCCCGGGCGCCTCTTCGACCAGCGCTTCGGCGAGGGGCTGCTGGAGGCCGAGCTGGCTGCGCTCTGCCCCGCCTCACTGGCCCCCTACTACCTGCGCGCACCCAGCGTGGCGCTGCCTACCGCCCAGGTGCCAGGCCTGGGGGAGGGCGGTAACTCGACCATTTGCAAGGCTTGGAGACCCGGTCATCCCGGGGGCGGGGGCGGGGTGAGGAATGTCCCCCGACTTTGAGCGGGGTGGAGAGTCCGGCCACTCAGAGGGGCTTCCAGAGTTCTCTGAGTATGGAATCTCACAGGCCGGATTACTGAAGCGGGTCCATCTGAGGAGGGTCTCAGGTCTGAGGGGCTGGAATGGCTGAGTCACGGATAGGGTGGGGCCGTCACTCTGAGGGGAGCGTAGGTGACTCTGAAGGAGGCTGGTGACCCAGGAAATCTGGGGAAAGGGGGGCGCTCAGTTATTCTGAAGGGCATGGGGGTTCCCAGGGACTCCTGAGGGGAGGGAATGTTTTGTCATTCTCGGGGAAGAGTTTGGAGACTGTATGCATGTGGTGACCCTCTGCCTCCTGGAGAGACAGAGGGGAGGAAGGGTCCTGTGACTTGAGAAAGGGGGGCCTGGCCACTCTGAGAAGTGGGGGGAGAGTACTGGTAACTGTTGAGGGCGCAAGCGGCCCCGTGACTCCAGTGGGAGGGTAAAAAGACGACTCTGGAAGCTCGGGGAAGAGGCATCTTGGCAATTTCTGGTGGGGGGGAGGCGGTGTGCAGTAAGTGCACCAGGGGTTCTCAGGGATGGGGGCCTGGGGATTCAGTGTCCAAAGGACACTCTCACACTGGGGGAGGGGGCAGGCCTTACCCTGTGAGAGCTGAGGTCCTGATCTTGCAGGGGAAGGGGGCCTCATCACTCTGGATGAGAGAATCTCAGTGATCACAGGGGGAGGAGTGATCCCTGTTATTCTGGGTGAAGAGATCCTCTGGGGCTACAAATAGGAAAGGAAAGGATTGTCCAGTTCCGGAGGCCTGCGACAGGGCCAGCCCTGGTACCGACGGGGGGAGGAGCCTCGCCCCACCGATGACGATCGGGCTGTGCTTAGGTCCCAACGGAACCCGGGCATTTCTCGGTGCTGCTGGACGTGAAGCACTTCTCCCCGGAGGAAATCGCCGTCAAGGTGGTTGGCGACCACGTGGAGGTGCATGCGCGCCACGAGGAGCGCCCGGTGAGCCCGCTGGTAGGGGTGGTGCCAGAACGCGTAGGTGGATCCGCAGGCCGGAGGGGCGGGGCGTCCATAGGAAAAGGGAGGGGCGACTCAAGTCTCTCTCTCTCTCTTTCTCTCTCTCTCTCTCTCTCTCTCCAGGATGAGCATGGATACATCGCGCGCGAGTTCCACCGCCGCTACCGCTTGCCGCCTGGCGTGGACCCTGCCGCCGTGACGTCCGCGCTGTCCCCAGAGGGCGTCCTGTCCATCCAGGCTGCGCCCACAACGCCACAGGCCCCACTGCCGCAGCCGCAGGCTGCTGCCAAGTAGGCGTCATGCCTGAACCCCGGGAGCCGCCTCCGGCCCCCTCTTTTAAAGCCGACCTGACTCCACCCAGCCAGATGTCCCGAGCGCACCCAAACCACCCACCCAGTCTGGGATCCTACCCTGACCCTTCCCACGTAGACTCTTCCCTAGTAACTAGACCATTCCACTGACACTCCCGTTCTCACACTCCCTCCAGCTTTCAGACTCCTGACAGCTCCCTAGCTTCCAGGCCCTACACGGACAACCCTTCAGCCTACAGTCTCCCGGCCCTACTGACCCCACTTTCTTGGCATATAAACCCACTCAAAACTCCCTTTGCTTCCTTCTGACTCATCTATTAAAATATCTCCACATCCCATTTTAATCCTTTTCCCTCTCCAACACTACATTATGGTGTGGACAGCCCTGCCCCCACCCTAGGCCAGTTAAGCATAATCCCTCTCCACCCCTCAAATATCCCAGACCATCCAAGGCCTGGTCCTCAAGATTCTGGATCCTTCCCCTCACTCCAACTGGACAGTCTACTCCCCCCACCCATCTTGTGACTTGAAACCCCAGCCAGCGCCCCCATCCGAGACTTTTAAACCCTTTTTCTGACCCCCCCACCCTTGGACACCTATTCCAGGCCTAGCAGGACCCTCAACCTCAGACTGCACAGATACCCACCCCATCACCCCAGACTCTGCACAGATATCCTAAGCCCCATCCCCAGCTGTAACCAGAACCCCATCATTTTGCCATAATCCCCTAATCTCCAACCACATATCCCAAGTAATCCACCTTTCACATACCTCCCCTCATTCTCCAGGATCCAGCCAAGCAGCCACTTTTGCTTTGGTGCCCCACAATCCTTCTCCCTCCTTGAATTTCCTGCCACCCCATCCCCTTATCCGTTCCCCCAATAAATGTGCTAGAGCTGTGCCAACTGCTTTATGTCTGTGCCGGGAAATATGGGCTGGAGCAAGCAGAGGCCAGTGTGGAGGTGGGAAGGAGGGGAATGTTTATTGAGGGGATGTGGTGGGCAGGGGAACATCACTGTCGCTCATACATCTCCCGTAGGATCTTCATGCTTTCTGAGTACCGAAGCTGGTTCCGATGAGATGCCTCCTTCCACCTGTGTTGGGGGTAGAGAAGCAGAGGGAGGACTCAGCAGTTGGGGAAGAAGCCATAGGGGTACAGGCAGGTTCAGGGACGCTCACCTCTGGCGGATGCGTTTCCAGCGCTGCATGTTGCGGTAGATGAGTGTGGATGGTGAGGGCTCAGGCTCGGAGGGCTGCGCGGACAGAGAGACCAGGAGGGGTTGGCCATGCCCAAGCCCCGTACCATATGCCCCACGGCCCTGGGCCAGCCTGCATACCCACCTCATCATCAGGGGTACCCTGGATCTCAGGCTGCAGGGGGGATGGAATTCGGGATCTGCAAGCATCTCCAGGTGGCCCAGGGGCTGTGGGTGGAGGCAGCTTGTACACGTCACGACTCTTGCTATTGGTGACCTCTGAACTCTGGGGACACAAGGGCCCCACACCAGGCCCAGGAGAGTTAGAGAAGAGGGCCAGCAGTACACACTTCACCCCTCCTGCCTTTCCCAGTGACAGCAGACACGAGGGTCTCACCGGGGACCTGTCTTAAGAGCCACGTCAAAGAAATGTCTGCTCCAGGGGTCCCTGCCTGTATTCTGTCCAGCCCAGGGACCCCCAATCACTCCTAGCCAGCCCAGTAACCCCCATCTGCTCCCCTAAGCCAGGTGGCTACACCTGTTTGCAGTAAGGACCCCTGTCAAGCCCCCCAGCTTTTGGGAACCTCTAATCTCGGAGGTCACATCTACCTGCCCAAGGGAGCCCTGTCCCTTCACCCTCTCAGGCCAGGTAGTCATGTCTGTCTGCTTCAGGGAGTTCCAGCCATACCCTCGGCCAAAGGGTTAGCATCTGTGTGCCTCACCGGATCCAGAAACCACAGAGACCTGTGCCTATCTCTCCCACTAGCTTTGGGAGAGGACATCTTTCACCATCTACCCACTGGCTGTTGAGAGGGGGCCCACCACACAGCCAACCTCCTCATCCTCAGGCAGCGGGGGCAGTGGTGAGCTGGGTGAGCGTTCACGCTCACGCACTGAGGGGCTGTTGCGCATCCAGGCTCGGCAGATTGGGTAGAGCGGTGTGTTCTCACTGAACTGAGCCAAGTCCACACTCCGGTCAAACAGCTTGATCACATACGTGTCTAGGGTAATGGGAGGGGAAAGTGTG